TGTTGTTTTTAATCATGAACATGGGCCTGAACCACAAAGTGAGATCATTAGGTTATCCTGCTATCTTTTGCCTTAACCCAGCTAGGCTTTTGCTGTATCACCAAGCTGGCTGTAATCTACTATGTGCTGCATGGTTGACTTAACTTTAGAGGAACAGCCCAACTATTGACTAATCAGATCACTGGAAACACACAGCCAGGTGTGTGTGAGGGTTAGGGTTAAACAAATACATTCCCAAATTAGATATCTTAAAGGATAATGGGAGGGTGGCTGTCCGCCAGCTGTAGCTGATGCAGCAGGACAGTGACTAAACATTGAAATAACTCACCTACAGACTGACTTCAGACAATGAAGGTCTACCTTCTGGAGTGACTCAGCCAGAGCCCAGACCTTAACTTAAACAATTATTAAATACAAGGGTTCATTCACTTCTTCCACCAGCTCTGTGAATGTTTAATGGGTATGTTCAATAAAGACAGAACATTTATACAGTAACTGTTTGTGTGGTATTAGTTGAAGCACATTATTGTCTAGACTTGTGACTTAAATGAAAATAAGACCAAATGTTATGACAAATGAATAGAGAAAAGCAGGTAAATTCAAAAAGTTCAGTCTGATATTCTTTAAAACTAAAAGAATAATTATGCTAACTAGCTAAGTTTTGCTATCAACATGCACAGCTTACTGCTGGGAATATGTTTTGCAGCACTGGAACACATCACACACAGCAGTCAATAGAGGAAGAGAATAGATTGGAGGTCTCTGACCACAATATCCTGAATACATCTCCTCTTGGCCCCACAGCAAACACAACACTGACTCATACCTATGTGTGGGTGAGACAGAAAGTAAGAACTTTAGAGAAAAAGTAACAGTAAGGAAAGTGCGCAACACCTGGTTCCATCTGTGTTTTGCACGGTAGGTAGTGGTAGTTTGATGGGGACAGGTGTTGACTGCAACCAAACCACTCAAAACCACAACATGCAAGCACACTGCAACCAAGTGCTTCTTTATGTAATCATGGCCCCAGTTTGACTGTTAGCATTATTAATATGTGAGACACCACATGTAGGCCTTCTGCTGGGACCTGATCCTGCCCTGGACCACATCAGCTGGGCAACTCAAGAACTTACCAACATGTCACTGATTTACATGAATGACAACACAGGAAACATTAGGTGTCTGTAAAAAACAAAACAGTTTCTTCATGTTAAACTTCTGGTTTCAGACTTCTGATAAGTGTATGGTGAGTCTTGTTGTTGGATTAGTTTGTTTTACAGTCAGAAACTTGCATCAACAAGTGACCTCTGCTTCTCATAAATGATAAAAACTAAACAAACAGTGATGTAATGTCATTGTTTGCTTCATCTGATACACTGTACATGGCTGTCCACTCGCCTTTAAACAACAAAAGTTTAAAACAGTTACTTCTCTCTTTCTATGCAGATGGAGGAATCCACCCTGTCAGACTGCTGCTCTGACTCATGTGCATGTGAGAGTGTGTGTGCACGCACAGAAGCCATTTAGCTGCAAGTGTAGTGTATGTGTGTGTGTTAATGAGTTGTGTGTGCCTCTGTGTGGAAGACATATAATTATCTGAGTATGTGTTTTTGCCAAGTTGTGGAAGGCACCGTACTTTCCATGTCTTTCAGATGAGCACATGTGCACACATGCGCGTGCACGCTGTGTTTTCATTCCTTGTGGGGACTTTACATTGATTTACATTAATTTCCTGTGGACTTATCCTAACCGTAACCATAACTTGCCTAACCCTGACCCTAAAATTCAGTGATTTTCCAGCCTCTGTTCTCCACAAGGATGGCCGAGTCCCCACAATGTGAGTGTGTTAACAGGTTTTGGTCCCCATAATGTAAGCAATACAAAGGCACACACACAAAATAGAGGACAAGGGAACAAAATAAGAGTCTGCATCAGACATAGCTGCTCAGATAAAGTAAAAAAAAACAACCTGTCCTCATTTCACCTAATTGAACTTTTACACCAGCAAAGTACAATGACCTGAACTGAACCAGGAGGCTGGTGATCCATACATAGATTTCATGAAAAACAAATAATTACTTTTCTGCGGTTTCTAACTATTTCTCACCAATATTTGGCTAAGAATACATTCTGAAAAGGCAATCTGAGGTCATGTACTTTATGCTTTATCATTTCTTTATGTAAAACAAACCTCTGTCTAGCAGTGTTCACACTCTAAAGGGCAGAACCACAGTTTTTCCATCTGGCCTATAAACACGTGTCCATACGTACACTGAAGTTGCTTGTTGTAATCATTCCTCCTGTTCACACTAGCCATTAAATGTGCTTCCAAGTTGGAAGTGATGGGTCAAAATCCACAGTCCTCGTTCTGTGTAAACATATATACAAAACCTAACCTCAAAATTCCCATGAGGCTTCAACAGAGTCTTACCAGTATCATCCAAAGTTACAGACAAACACATTATACAATAAATCAGTCATGCATGTTCATGTAAAAAGATGAAAATGTTTTATTTACAACAATTTAAAACATTTGAAAGACAATTAAAAACAGTATAATTACACATTTTTCAGTGTAGAACAGTATAAACAAAAATGAAACATGTTGCTACAGTTTCACTGGGTCTTCTGGAGTCATTGTTTCTGCACAGACTCCAACAGATGCATTTCTGTACAGCATTTTCAGCAAAGCACAACACATCAGTCTCTAAATTTTGCATCTTTTTAACCATTGCAATGAACAAACAAAGCCTTTGACTAACTGTCCCATTCTATGAATCCTAAAAGCTAAAAAAAAAAAGCACATCAGCAGCGCAGTTTGCCAAAGTGGTTCCAGCAGTGTTGATTCGAGTCAGTAAAACCCTGAATGTCACACAACCCTCTCTGTACTGTAACACCTACAAATGTTAGATGGTAGATCAACACATTTTCAGGTTTTCATATCAGTTTCAGAAGATGCCAATTTATCTTTTGGTTTCCACCCCTCAATGCTCTCGTTCTCCTCTCACACTCCTGCTCTAATACAGTACTTCAAAAATGAGGTTTTAGGTTTCACATGGCACAATATCAGAAATCAACATGCAATCACAGCGCTCTCGATGCCACAGCAGAGGAAAAGCAAAGCAAAGTAAAGCTGGTGCACAGGAAGACAAGCATGAGACATCTGAATTTCCAAAATGTCACTTATCTGAAAGCTTTAACCTTATTTTATGTTTATTTGGCTGGAAAGAATCAGAATGAGGAGGAAACACAACTGTAAACAGGAAGTAGTGTGATACCATGTGGTGAAAATTAAATGTGAATGGAATGACACACGAAGTTTTAGTTTTAGGTCATGTTTTACACTTTGAACAGTGAATGAATGACACATAAACCAAAGCAGCTTTACCCACGTGTGGGTTTAAAAACCTTTGCTGCTGGGGCTAAAGCACAGTTTTAATGAAGGGGGGACACATTTATACAATTTGTAAAACTATCTTAAGACTTTTATAGCCCTGGCAACATGGCCAGTCAGACTTTGGCCAAGCCAAGGTTATATATGTGTACTTGAATGTCTAATCCATTGTTTACAACTGGCAACGTCATGATTTGTGTCTTCAGCACATGATTTTTATGAGACTGCTTTCACATCAGAAGTGGAATAAGTGTGACAGATTTCTACATCTGTACAAAAAGCCAGTTCTTCTGTTGACTTTATCCACTGAAGCTAATCGCCCATGTCTTCAACTTTTTAAACCATGCATGCAGTGACAAATGTCAGCAAGTTGTAGCTACTCAGCAGACAGCCTGACTCTAATCCATCACCTCAAAGGAGGAAGTTTGAAAATGAAACTGAGAGGCTGAAAAGCTGATTTTACACCATTCAACAATGAGATTACACAGCCCTGCTGAAATCTGAGTTTAGAGATGATGAAAGCCAGTATCCCACCTAATCTGTGATGCATTCGTGTTGACACAACTGTGCAAACATCCAAGTGCAGCTCAAAATCAGACTCCACTGAATTTGGTTATTGATTGTGTTACAACAAATGTCTGCTGTTCTCATCTGGATAATCTCCTGGGGAGAGAAACTGAGTTTAGAAGGTTAAATCAACACATGTAACACACTAAACAGCATAGTATCTGTAATGCTGCTGACAGATCAACTTCCACTGGAAAGTAAAGGTTTGAATGTGATCCCTGAAAATGTTTTTTTTTTTCAGATCTTAGTCAAACCACTTTAAAGTACTTTTCTGACACTGATTGACATTATCCAGCATAAAACAAATTGGATTTCCTTTTATATTCCAGCTGGTGACCAAAACAACACGCAGTATGGCAGAGAATTAGGTAACATTTCATTTTTACTATCTGAAACAAGTCAAAAAAACAAATTTTCTACAAATCTCTTTGGTCAATATTAATGCTGCATCCCTTAAGATACAATGTTTGATGTTTACTACTGTGTAGCTCAGCAGGTAGAACACAGCAAATCCAGTCTTTGTTATGGTCTCATCCATTGCTCTGAAGTAGTCCTGGAGGAAGATGACTGTGAACTGCTCCCATTCAAAGGCAAGATTTATGCTTTATCTCAAGTGTTTTCAGACAGTATGTTTTGATTTTTTTTTAAGAAATAAGGTTTCAGGGATGAGGATTACCTGGGTTGTTTGAAAACTGTACATCTGGTTTACTTCCCCACCTCTGATGAAGGGTTGTGCTAACCCCTCAGCATCACTCATGCTCAGCATGTCTGCACACTTGGCACAGTAAGGCCCTTGGTTCAAATATTTTCTTGCATAATTCTTTGCTCACCACTGTATTTTTAAAAATGATGGTTCAGTGTTAATAAAAAAACAAAACAAAACAAAAAAAAACCTGAATTTTACACTCAATTGTCCAGGTATTTGTGCATAAAAGAACAGACATTTCATATGGCATAAAAAGGTTTTCACACTTTTACAAGCGTTTATCTCCTCATCCTGCCCGCTCTCAAAACCCAAAACCTAAAAAAAAACAAATAATGATGGCCAGAACTGATATGTTTTAATGAGCTTAAAGAGTTCAAAGATAAGCAAGAGAAGCCTGTATCACCACTGTTTACAGTTACCAGTTAGCTAAGCACTCAGTGACCAACCCCTCTTTGACTGCGCATTGTTCAGTGTTTGGTTTCTTTCCAGAAATCTCTTTACGAGAGTGTTTCATGACCTGGCAGGCATGAGGAGATTTGGCTGGGGCTGAACCACTGCTCTAATAAATGCATAACATGACCTTGTCAACAATTCAACACTTGCCAAGTACATTCAGTGTGGCTTAAGGAAAACCAGAGGCTGAAACAAATAACGGTGGAAGACAATATTGTTTGATCAACTATTGTAGAAAAAAACAAGCTTTGAACAGGTGAAAAATGAGTAAACAAGACAGCAGAAATCATACTGTCTAATGATTTAAATCTGACATGATTTCATTATTAATTTTGTTCATCATATTGCTTTTTGGGGTTTTACTGTCCTACAGTCACTGGACAACTCAGTAACAAGTCATGTGCCTAGTGGATCTAGTGGTTACAGAAACACACAGGCTTTTCTGTGGCGAGGAAGGCTGGTATCACTTACTCGAAGGCTGCTACAGTATCATCTTACTAGTATCAATGGGCCACATTTTTTTATGTAAAACTGAACAATACAGAGGGTAAAATCTGTCTGGGCATGTTCAGTTTATACATTAACAGGCCACACTGTCTATTGTGCACCAATTGATGTTTAATAAGTTGTAAAGTACTCTAGGAAAACATTAATGCTGCCATCTTCCAACACTAGAAATTTCAATATGGATGTCTACAAAACTACAATTCAAAGTAATGTGTTCTCAATTTATTAAAATGCAAAGTACCTTTGAAATGATAATAATTCAGATTACCTGATTACATATTTGACAAATGGTAACGGGAGCAACTGTAGCTAAAGCCTGACCTGGATTTTTGAAATATGACACACAATCCTAAATGGACACTTCAGGGCGTTCCTGAAAAAGAGAGGTGGCCTCTCAGTGGACCTGCCCTGACTAAATAAACATTTAAAAAGTGATGATCTCTTAAAGCTTCAATATGCAACTTCTGGAAATCAACTAGCACTACGCTTTGCCCAGTCCTTCTTAGCTAATGGAGGAAGTTGCAGTTTGAGCACGTGAGCCAACCATGGTGACGTCTTCCAGCCGCTAATACTAGCTTCAATCCCCAGTACAAGAGGAGTAGTAGACCAGATGTGCGTTCACGTATTGACTGACAGCCATGAGCTCCCGCCCTAGATCCTGACGGTCTGAGGGCAAAGTTCACTACAAAATTTTAGAAGGGAATATCTCTGCACTACTGCCAGGCTGTTTAATGAGTCTGGGTCACGAAAGCTTCTGAGAGCGCGTCTCCACATTAAGAGCATATTTTCACTAAAACATATTATATTAAAAGTACATCCTGTAGCTTTAAGTCAAAACCTTTGTCATTTAGTACTCAAATGATCAGGACACAGTTCATTTCTGTGGCTAAAAATGCTGGTGTAGTCAACTCTAATTTACAGTGCAGACACACTGTAAGCAGGCGTAAATTTCATGGTAACAAAATGTTCAGTAGCACAGCAGTTTGACAACTCTGAGATTAAAATCTTGGGTAAAATTCTGACCCAGTTGGTCATGGGTCTGACGTGTGCTAGATCCTAATGTGATGGGAGTGCAAGATCATTTTTCCTTTCCTGAAGCATTCATAGGGAAAATATAAGGGGACATTTTAAGGACCCACCAGACCCATGTGTTTTAACAACCCTGGGTCCACAGAGTTGATCACCCAGGGAACTTGTAATATCTGTAGAAAAGTAAACAGGAAACTGTACAAGGCACATTTGAATTTCCACAGGCATCATTTTGCAAAGAGGCATATTTAGGTGGCATGACTGCCTCAGCGCTGGACAGGACAGTGCAAAAGCTCAGCTCTTTGGTAGCATCCAAAGAGGCCTTGAAGAAAAAACACAGGTGCAAAAACTAGACATTTTAGAGTTTCTTAAACATGTTAAAACAAAAACAAAATGAAAACAATCCAAATCCAAAGTCTCCTTCCTAATTTGGAAAAAGAAGGAGGGAGAGTAAAAATTAGATCCCCAAAAACAAAAAGAAGATTCTGACAGATCCAATATTATATACATTATGAAAATAAAACGCTACGTCTGCTGGGTTTTCCAAAGGCTAAACCTGAGAGTTGTCCTGGCTGTTTATACTGCCTTGCAAGATTATCTGACCAATCACAAGGACCAGGATGCCCACGCAGAGCACGATGGTGAGTTCCTGGTGGATACGCGGCACAACCCGTCTACGTCTGTCTGCCAACTCCTGGAACAGAAAGGACAAAAAGGTGTTGCTGTATTAATGAGAAAAATATTTAATATTCACTAAACTAAATGAAAAGTCAGTTTTTAAGTGAAACAATAAAGTAGTCTGACAGGAATAGTCCAGCAGTAATGATGCAGTGAGGTAGATGAGTTAAGACAATCAACTATATACTGATCAGTTGATTGACCGGTAAAATTCAGGTAACCTAGATTTAAAGGTGAGCTGCATAAAGACAATGTACTGACAGACTATGTTGCTGGACTAAATAAACCCACAGGTACAATGGTGTTTGGAGTTTCCCATAAGGAAGGAAGAGTTGGTCTCTGATTATGCATCATTACACAACAGCAGGAAATCCTTAAAACACATGGTATGAATAGAGGAAAATGAACAATAATGCAAGTTTTTTTTGCATAAACTTGACCATAAGCTGATTATTTTATGCAAATCATATGTGAGAACATAATTTCCAAGTCAGGATGGTTTTCTCTCATGTCACAAATTTTTCTGTGTGGTGTGATGGATCTACATCAGATGTTCAGGTAAACACCCTGGTGTTACAGAGGGATCCCTCGATGATTTAAAATCAAAGCCACACACACACACACACACAGCATGTTTACATCCACAGGAACCAGTAGTCCTCAACATCCTGCCACAACTCTCTATTACTCGCTCCATCTCCAGGTGTGAATTCTATATGTCACGGTGTGCATGAGTGCATATATACAAATACACTGAAGTGCTTGAGTCTAAAGCGGAAATGCTTACACTTTGGAAATCTCCCTTTATAACCAGAGAAGACATTTTGCAACTAACTAACCTTAACCCCGACTCCAAGCTGAGTAAACAGAGATTTCTGTGTAACTTGGAGTGCCACTTTCTAAATGAACCAAATGCTTCGTAAGCTACATATTGAACCCTGAATAATGTATTGTTCAAGGACAAATCGATATGACTTTGTTGAAGGTTCCTTCTCTGAATCCTGATGACAGGTTTATCATACGGCCTGTTGAACAGCCAATGAGAGATGAGTTGACAGAAAACTGAGTTTGGCTCTAACACAGTCATCAAACCCCGACTAGCCGGTGCTGTGCTTTTGGTTAGAACTAACAGTTCCTTCACACAGTATGCCTCAACTGTCAATCTTGTCTCTGGCCGTTTCCATTTCTTTGCAGTCATTCCGGCACACTTGGCATGTTGTTGACTGAAACAGGTGTTTCCATTTTCTGTTTTCTGCCCCTGCTCTAAACAGCCCTGCGCTTTGGCTTTGGTCCATCTCCAGCAGCAGCAGCGGCAGCTTTTTGCTGATAAGAGATCTGCCCAGCTGACAGGAATGAGCACACATTTTCTTTGGGTGGACGCACATCAGGAAGCTGGGCCCGGAAGAAAACACTCTCTAGAAACAACAATGTTCCTGTTGCTAAAAAAAGACGGAAAGCTGGATGCTGATCTTTACAATGAATGACTTACAAAAGTATCTTCATTTGCCACCCGGCTCGTTATAGTAAGGGAATAGCTACTTAGTGCATACCCCTCTAAACTCAAACAAAAGAAAACACACTGATTCTGTGAATAATCAGATTACTACACACCAATAAACCCTTTCAACAGCAGCAGGGGAAAACCAGAAAAGATTCTGCTGATATTTCAAGGCCTTTTACAAGTTACATACTGTACTATATTTTCCCTATTAACTCCATTTCACACCTATGTTAGGAATAAAACATAGGATTCACTGAGAACTCTTCTTATTTAATGAATGAACTTGTGGTTAAAGCACAACAACAGCCCCTTAGTGGCCAACAGTAGAAGACTAGCTTTCAGGTATGAAATCTTGGAGCTGCTTAAAAATTTCATCCTTAGCCACAATTATACAGATAAGTAAAGTCTGAAAATATGTTAAAGCACAAGAGCAGGAATCAGTTTTTCTGCTGGGAGATGGATGTTTTATCATGAACCTCTTCAAGTACAGCCCAGCTGGATGGACTGTACAATACCTTCCAGACACTGACTGGCACAGAACAAGCCTTTATCCCCAAGTCGAGGCTGTTCTCAGAAGAAAGGGATCTTTTACAGATGAGAGCAAGAGAGGAATGCCAAAACTGGTTTGGTTCAAAAGATGAGCCAAAACCACAAAAACCTCTAGTGACAGAGGAGGAAACAGCTGAGGGGGGCAGTTGTAGCTCAGGAAGTAGAGCAGGTCATCTCCTAACCAAAAGGCTGGTGATTCAGTTTCCGGCTTCTTCAGTCCACATGTCAAAGTGTCCTTGAGCAAGACAATGAAACCCAAGTTGCTCCCGGTAATATCACAGGTGTGCGTGTGAATGGGAAGTGGTGTGAAAGCATTGTGTGTGCTGCAATGCATAGAAAAGTGCTATACAAGTATAAGACTGTTGCCATGTGGCGAGCCACAGTCTGCTTCTGACTCAGACCAAGTCAAACAAACATGACCAAAGAGCTGCCAGAACACTGATCGGAGCGAGACGTGAGCCTGAGTTACTTCACAGAACTAGTCTGACAAGTTTTACCCAGACTCATAAAGAAAGAACTCCATTGTAGAGGAGGCAGAAAGTCTCTGTACATCCACAGCGCTTGAAATCCAGAATGCAAGATGTGTTTTGAACTCATGCTCACACACAGACTTAAACACTACAGGCATCCATTAAGACTCAGAAGCTGCCCAGTGGTATGACCTGACGAAGGCAGTAAGGGTACAAATTTATGCAAATGTCCTATGACAGAAGCAACAACCAGAAGACAACCAATTGCTTTTGTTTTGATATTTGCTAGGATTCATTTGTATCGTATATCTTTGGCCAGTTCAGTCATGACTGTCATTAGACACGCTACAAGTCGGTCGGTTCCCTACTAAAAAATATGTCTCTGTTGGATGGAATGCTGTGAAATTTGCTTCAGACATTCATGTTACCCCCAGGATCAACTGTAATAACTTTGGTTATTGCTTAATTTTTCATCTCACACCAACATCAGGCTAGCATTTCAATGTGTTCATCTAGAAAACACACGATATATGATACTGTTTTCTTCTTTTATGGGATTTTTGCCCAGTGGTCACCAATTTATGAACTTTGAGGAGACACCAGTGAAAGTGTCTCAGCAAACACTCATTCCTCTGCAGTGAAAACTGAACCTTGAATGTCATCAGGGGATTGTTGTGTTTGGCAGTGAAGTGAAAAGCAAACGCTCCAAACACTGATTTTTTGGCGGGAATATGGTTTCATTTCCACAACCTGCAATACTGCCATTATCATTAATGAAGACTGCTGTGGGCGTAGAAGCTCATGCGAACACCCACTAATTCAGCTTCCCTTTTCATTTAGCAGCAGATGGTTTGTTGTCTGACATCACACAAGGTATAATGCTGCAGTGGAAGTAAAAACAATTTTAATGCAGATTTATTTTTTCAGTTTGCAGTTTCTGGTCTTTAGTGATGGAATTATACTTTCTTGTTGTGGAAACAGCCATTATTTTTTATCAATGTTAATTTACTTGGAGCAGCATTTATCATATTGCACATTAGAAACTTGTCAATTCTCAAAATCAGACACAAGGACAAACACAAGGTTTGTGGTTTTTAAGTGAGAGTTTCTTACCTCTGATCTGACTAATCAAAATGATCTGCAGTTTACAGAGTGAGGGAAGGGACCACAATGGCAGGTTTATGAGTCTCAAGACAAGACTGTTATGTTCAATTTGTTGATCTAATGGTGCAAAAAGCATGCATCTGACCAACATCTGTATAAAATGCATCTCAAGAGGTGCCATTCTGTCACAGGGCTGACAGTTAAAGACAGACAACCGCACACTCACACACACTCCTAGGGGCAATTTAGAGTCACCAGTCAACCTAAGCTGCATGTCTTTGGACTGTGGGAGGAAGCTGGAGTACCCAGAGAGAACCCGCACAGGCACAGGGAGAACATGTAAACTCCACACAGAAAGGCCCCGGGTCAGCCAGGGCTCGAACCCGGAAGCTTCTTACAAATTAACATGCTGTATCTTATGTAACTCAAACACAAACAATAATAAGGTTACAGTAAAGCAGGTTTTCCGGAAAAAAAAATTGCCTACGATTACACACCACACCACGTAGACACTAGGGCTGGTTTGTCATTTGGGTGATTGGCCGTATTTCACAGTCAGGATGAGAAGCATTACTCCACTGCAATCAGAAGCAGTTGTACTCCTCAGCTGACAAACTGCAGGCTGAGAGTGTGACATGAAGCCAAAACCAGTTTCGCTAAACATTCTTGATTTTCAACCTTATAGAGTACCTCAGGATTACAGAAAAGGGAATATACACTGGTAATCTGCTAATAGGTTCCTTATTTGATCTCTTACCTTAAATAACCCCTTCCCATCATCTGATGCCACAAATCATTTTCCTGCTGTCACTGCAACTTCTAACAGTTCAGCTGTGTAGTTCAGCAGTTTGGTTCACACACATGCAGGCACCTTGATGTGTGGTTCACACTTTCACATACACACAATAGTGTTAATGTGATGGAATGAACAAAGCAAGAAACAAACAAAAAAGCTAAACTTGCACAAAACTAAAGAAGAACCAAGCTGTCAACCAATAAACTCACTAGGTAAGGTGGCAACCGGAACACTCACCAGTCATTAAGTCAGTGCATGTAACCAGATAGGAGTGACCCTGCCTGCAGCCCAGTTACTACAGATTGTGTTTTAATACTTCTGTCTGCATTTCAGACAGCCATTAGTTTCCATTCATTTGAGCTGAAACCTGACATACACCAGGGTTGTGAATCCATCACAATAAACGTCATCTCCCCTTTTTTTTAGTGGTTATAATATTGTTGCATTTTAATGTACCACTTTTCTAAGTCTTCCAGGATGATGAATTCAAATGTTAATTGAGGCTGAAGCTCCAGCATCTGAGTTTTGCATTCATGTGCTCCAGTAGTAAACCATGGTGAACAGTAAATCAAGCCCAGAGGACAAACATTGGTAGT